TGTAATTTATATGTAAAAAGAGAACATGCTTATTCATAAGCAAAATTCCAAAATCAATGTTAATTAGGACAATTAAGTCAAACTTTGAAAACTTCTGTTAAGGTAAATAGCATTAGATTCATCTAAGCATATGTGACTTACTTTAAATTAATTATTATTTGTACAAATGTTGATTTGTCAACAAAAACCTAAGTGTTAAATTTAGTGACATGGCCACAAGTGAATATATGAGGCGTAGTGTAGTGATATCAAAGATGTTAAGGTACTTTAAATTTAGTTCATTTGCCCAATGAATTATGCATTTGACTTCATTGCAAATTAAAATAACCTCATCTTTAAAGAATAATTAAAATACATTACATGTTTTTTAGTCCAAATGAGAGAGAAGTTAGAGAAATATTTAATTATGTGTGTTAGATTAATAAACTATTTATTTATTTTTATTTTTATTTTTATTTTTGAGATGGAGTCTCATGCTGTCACCCAGGCTGGAGTGCCATGGCATGATCTTGGTTCACTGCAACCTCTGCCTCCGAAGTTCCAGCGATTCTCATGCCTCAGCCTCTTGGGTAGCTGGGATTACAGGTGTGCGCCACCACACCCACACCCGGCCAAGTTTTGTGTTTTTAGTAGAAGTGAGGTTTCTCTACCAACCTTGTCTCTACTAAAAACAAAGAGGCTGTTGGCCATGCTGGTTTCGAACTCCTGACTTCAGGTGATCCGCCCACGTTGGCTTTCCAAAGTACTGGGATTAGAGGCTGGAGCCACTGTGACTCGCCCGAATAAACTATAGTATTTAAAAGTTGCTAGCTAGATAAGATAATTTTACTCCTTTTCAGTTTAAATACATTGTCTTTAATACCATGCCAGTCTCTTCCATGGATGTTTTTATCACCTCTTTTCAAGTACATTTATCATAGACAGATTAAGAGCAAGGTGATGTAAGCAGCTCAGGTTGTAATTGTCTCTAGGCAAATCAAGTTCTTAAAAAAATAACGATACAAAAAAATTGGAAGGTGTCAAAATTTGGAATGAGTTTTAAACTTTCATTTACTTCTAATAGCTTAACTACTGTCAAAATGAATCAGTTTGGAATTGCACCCTTACTTAATTAATCATGTGGAATTTCCAAGTAACATATCTGTGTTGTACATACTTGAAAAGTAAAATTCTTACTTCTTCCACTTATTATTTTCACCTCACTGTTTTATTGTTGCTAAAGTAGTTTCAGCCTCAAAATATATTATAAAAAGACCACCCAGTTATGTATACTTCTATTTATCTGAGATGGAACAAGCTCATAGATAACTGAAATTTATCAGAGGGGCCAAACTTGTTTTTGTTTTTCTTCTTGCTTTTTTGTACCATTTCTCCCTCTTATAAGCTCTGCTTATGTTTTGGGATTTATTCAGGGACACTACTTTTAACATACCTTGTCTGTTGTAATATTAGGCAGTTATGAATTTTCATAGTTACAGTTGCTGTCACTTCATTAATACAAAGAAAAAAAAAAAGCCCATAGCTTTCAACATTTTCTTGGTTAGAGGACTTGGTATTTTGTATAGTTCCATTTGGATCAAATTCTCTTTTATTTTTTTCTTTGGAAATATTAGTACGTAATGTGATAAATGCTAAATAAGAGTGCTGTAATTACTTTGGTAATGGATCAAGTTAATATATAGTATAGAGCTACCAAATTAGGGAGACTGTAGCGTCAGTTTGAGTTTCTTCTTTATTGGGTATATATAATTCTCCAACATCATTTGAAATGTAAGAAATCTTCATTGGGCATCACAGTGTTACAGTTTAGTTTAAGTATATTCAAGTACAGTAAGAGATTTACATTCTTAATGATCGTGCTCATCTTTATTTGGAATTAAATTATTAATCTTGGATTAGCCATGCAAGAAAAGTCACAGAAGTTGAGATAATTGAGTTTAAGGTAAAAATTTACCTCAGAAACTTACCATCTGTGTGATTATTGCAAGTCATTTTTCTGGATTGCTTTTTCAGAGCTTTATGATGATATTATTTTATATTTTTATAACAAGCTTGTTTTGTTTTGTTTTGTTTTGTTTTTTTTGAGACGGAGTTTCGCTTCTGTCACCCAGGCTGGAGTGCAATGGCGCGATCTCGGCTCACCGCAACCTCCGCCTCCTGGGTTCAGGCAATTCTCCTGCCTCGGCCTCCCAAAGTGCTGGGATTACAGGCGTGAGCCACCACGCCCGGCTTAACAAGCTTGTTTTTATAGATGGAAATTGTTTATATGTCTTGTGTTATTCAAAATGATTACATGAATACATCAGCAATTACTGTTTGGTAATAAATGTGATTAATTTAAAGTGACTATTTTAGATAACTACAAATGTACCTAATACATGAGAATAAATTTATAAATATAGAGAAATGCAGCCATACCATTGTGTGATTGAATCACTAATTGGTATTATACCATGTGATGTTAATTGTTCTCTGGTGTGAAGAGAGTTTCAATTGATGGAGTCATAACAAATGTTTGAAGATTTAAATTATTATCAAAATGGTAAATAATTAAATACCTTTAAAAGAATTAAAAACATGAACTTGCAGTATTAACATATATACTTGAAAAATTAATTCAAAACTAGTTGAAACATTTGCTAGTTAATTAGCTAAAAGATGAGTTGAATGAAGAAAAATGTGGAAATATATGGAAGTCTTTTGCCCATTGTTTAGAAGTTTATAGAACTCAAATGAGTAATTTGAATATTTTCCACTTGATATTGGTTACTAATTTGTAGTACCTTTTTGAAATGCCCTGTAGGCCAGGTGCAGTGGTTCATGCCTGTAATCCCAGCACTTTGGGAGGCCAAGGTGGGCAGATTGCTTTAAGTTAAGAGTTCGAGATCAGCCTGGCCAACATGGCAAAACCTCCTCTCTAGTAAAAATGCAAAGATTGGCCAGGGATGTTGGTGCATACCTGTAATCCCAGCTACTTGGGAGGCTGAGGTATGAGAATCACTTGAACCTGGGAGGCTGCAAATGCTAATGTAGTTACAGTTCTTTTAAACATTTGTATGTATTCTGTCTGATGATAAATGTATTCTGAAATATAGGATGTGAATTTTAGCTAAATTAGTTTGAAATGTCATTTTAGATGGCATTTTAATTAGTTTTATGTTAACTAGGACTTTGGATTGTGAGACCTTTTCCTTGTGCTCTTTTTGGCTGCTTAAAAATTATTTCTTTACATAAACATGAATACACATGCATACATGTGGGCAAACAATGTATGTAGTGTGATCCCAGGTTTAGCATTTCAGCTATAGAAGTCATACATGATAAGTTATGAAATTTTAAATACTGAGTGACAGAGGGAGATTCTGTCTAAAAAAAGTGAAAAGCCCTGTAAATATACATTATGCAAATTAGATAATAGATTACCAAGTTAGGGAAAAATAATTTAAGCTTTTTTCAAATTTTTATTTTTATTTTTATTTTTAGAGACAAAGTCTTACTCTGTTGCCCAGGCTTGGAATGCAGTGGCTCTATCATAGCTCACTGTAGCCTAGATCTCCTGGGCTCAAGTTATCTTCCCACGACAGCCTCCTGAGTAGCTGGGCTATAAACACTCACAACCATGCCTAACTGATTTTTTAATTTTTATTTTTAGTATAGATGAGGTCTCACTGTGTTGCCCAGACTGGTCTTAAACTTCTAAGTTCAAGCAATCCTCCCACCTTAGCCTCTCTAAGTGTTGAGATTATGGTCATGAGCCATGGTGCCTGGCCCATCAGTCAAATCTTTTAATTTGTATTACATAGTATCATCGTTTATTAGTTTTGATTTAACCACTTATTTTATTAAAACACGTTAATTGAGTCTTTATGTCGTAAGCATTGTGTTAAGTTTAATTGGGTGCAGAAAGATGAATTAGATACGGTCCTTACCAATTTGGGGATGAATTTTTTAAGGGGGCAGAAGATAAAGCATTAGGCACAAAAGGAAAAAAAAAATGAATGTAGAAAGTACTAGCCATAAGTTTTCTGTTAGAACTTGCATAAGTGTTGTTAAGGACCTTTCTACACTGGTGTCCTTAAACTTATGTGTATGTGACCTACTTAGGATTCTTGTTAAAAGACAGATTATAATTCGTGTGTCAGAGTAAGCCTGAGATTCTGCATTTCTAGTAGGCACTCAGGGGATGCCAGTGCTCATGGATCATGATTGATATTTAGAGGAGTAAGTCTCAATATTGTTCTTTGGAAGTAAGAATTGTAAATGTAGGATCTGCATTTAAAGACGTTTCCTGGATATAGTCTTCATTTTTCATCCTAATTACTTCCATAATATAATTAAAACACAGTTTGGCAATATAAATTTAAATAGACCATAAATTTACTTGTTTTGAATGACTAATTTAGTTGACTTTTGGTTATCTAGGGTTAGATTAAATGGTATGCAGTTAGCCACGGTATTAAATAACAGTGGGCTTGGTATCATGAAGAATTGAAATTACAGTAATGTAAGAAAACATTAATATATTTATACTATATTCTGTTTAGAATTACTTGGCACCTACTCTAGCTTGGGAAAGTTACTTGATCTCAGCTGTCCAAGTAATTTTTGGGAGTAGTGCCTGCTTTCTCTTCCAGTCTCTAAGAAACAGTGGGAATTACATATGGGAATTACAGAATCTACACAGAGGTGGTGCTGTGATTGGTGGGGATTTCTAACATATTGGCTGCAAATACTAATGTAGTTACAGTTCTTTTCAACATTTGTATGTGTTCTTTCAAATGGTAAATGTATTCTGAAATATAGGATGTGAATTATAGCTGAATTAGTTTAAAATATCATTTTATATGGCGTTTGAATTAGGACTTTGGATATGTGAGACCTTTTTCTTCTGCTCTTTTTGGCTGCTTAAAAATTATTTCTTTATATAAACATGAATGCACATGCATACATGTGGGCAAACAATGTATGTAGTATGATCCCAGGTTTAGCATTTCAGCTTCAGAAGTCATGTGATAAGTTTTGAAAACTTAAGCTCTGAGTAAATCATAATTATGGACAATTATGAAATGTTGAGAAAATCCTTTAAAATAATTTTGTAGAGTTCATTTTTTCTATCAGATACATGTTTATTTAAAAGTAAAGTACTATAAAGTACATTTAATCTTTTACTTTTTAATTCCTATGGCATAAATGGTAACAAAATGCAGTGGTCCAATATAGTATTAATTAGCAATAGCTGATTTTTCAAGTACCTAACTTAAGCAATAGCATTTAACGTAGGAAATTTATTTTTATCATTAATTAAACATTAGATATTGTGTGAATTTTTTTTTTCCAGAGAACCAGAGGACGAAAACGAAGCTTCGTTCCTGAGGAAGAAAAACATGAGGTTGGAATAAGTTAAGCACTTTTACCCAGTCTTAACTTTGAGAAATTTTCTTTCTTAAAATTGTTTCCCTCATATCCTTAGTTTGTTTTATGTTTTATTTTATTATCCCTTTTATGGCAGGAAAGAGTTCCTAGAGAGAGAAGGCAAAGACAGTCTGTGCTGCAAAAGAAGCCCAAGGCTGAAGATTTAAGAACTGAATGTGCAACTTGCAAGGGAACTGGAGACAATGAAAATCTTGTCAGGTAAGTTGGATGCTAAAACCTTGTCTTTAGGGGATTAAGGTTTCATGTGTATTATTTTCTCATCACAGAAAAAATGTAAAAAAAAATTGCAGGGTAGGACCATTCTTAAAATATTGTTTAGTGGAAACAGTACTTCAGAAACAGATTTCATCCACTTATTAACCTCCCATGCATGGTTATACTCTGGATTTAGATGTAAATAATCTGCATTTTTAACACAGGAAATTATTTTTCTCTTGACAAGAGAAGTTGACAATGGTCTCTATTTAGAGGCCATAAAAGTAATTTGATCTAAACACTTTGTACTAAGATTATTATATTTTATGTCAAAACAATGAAATTACTAAACTCTGTTAGCATATTCTAAATGTTGAAATTCATAAGCAATGGTGAGAAGACAGACTTTTTATTGACAAGAATTTAATTAGCACTTTCTTATTGCTTGTTAAAACAAATGTGTTAAATGCTTCTCCCTGACGAAATAAAGAAAGGTGAAAAGATGGCCTAGGTAGATTTTATTTTTTGTTTTGTCTTTGTTTCTTTGTTTCGTTTTGTGACTTTTTTTTTTAAATCAGACATAATGCTAATCGGGAATCTTAGCTGATGCTGCACATTGGCTCTTCCCAGCGGCCCAGAGACTGCTAATTTTAGCTGAAATGAAGAAATTGATCAAAGCTCTGGGTGAGATAGGGGAGTGAGTAGGTGAACAAAAAGAGAGCTAATTTAAAAGAGGCGTCAGACTTTCAAAGGACAGTGGCACAAAGGTTCTTAGAGTTCTTATAGGGACTTTGTAAGGGAACCCGTTCTGATTTCTTTAAAAAATTGTCTTCTGGTAAAGCCCTGTTAAATTAACTGAGGACACAGAAATTAAACATTTCAAAAAGAATAAACATATTGATAAAACAAATGTTAGTGTTATGTTTTTAAATATTTATTTCCAAATGATGTAATCTATTTCTGTCATTAAGAATATAATTTGTCTTAATTTATCTAAGAAAGGCTTGAAGCCTTAAATTTTATACCACCAATGAGAAAGATAAAGTAAAAATTACAGTAAAGACAAAGGCCTTCAACAAAGTTAAGAAAGTTTATAGTAATTGGCTAATGTTTTTGAGGCAGTTCATGTAGAATGTCTTGGGAGCTATCCTGAAGGTTAAGTTTACTAAAATTTAGGGTAAAGTAGTAAGTAGTTCCAAGTTCAGGAGATACACATGAATAATTCTGACTGCAGTATGATTTTTCCAGTATGTCAGAAGTGAAATTTTCCAGAATGTCAGAAGGCATAAGCAAAACATAATGGAGTAAATGAAACAACAAAAATTAAAAAAATAACAATCTTACGTATGAACAATTTAATTCAGGAAAATTCCCTTGGGGTTGAGGATGGAGTTGAGGACTATGATTAATTTGAAATAGTAGTTAAAAACTTAGAGAGCTTGTGATCCTCTTATTAATTATTTGAACCTATATAAGTATCTACTGTATCTTACTGATTTTTTTTTTTTTTAAATACGAGCTTGATTGAGGCCTTTTTGCTGGAGGACTTGTAAGTTTTTGTCAGGTTTTTTTGTTGTGCTTTTGTCATGTGTTTGAAATTAGGAACCTGAAAACTACAATTTTTATTTTAAAAACCAGTTTATGATAGATTTCCAGCCTGTCATATTTTAGTTGTTTAATAGAAAAAGTACCTTCTAATTTTGATAAGATATTTGATTAGTATTACTCTGTATTATTTATTTCTTTAGTTTCTGTTATAAAATTTTTATTTCTAATTGAATTATTACGATATGCCAATGTCTGGAATTTTATGAAAGTCTTCTGTAAGGTAAAGATATTTTCATTACTCTGAAATAATGGATATACAAAGTCCCCTTCCTTGGTTTTGTTTTATTAAGAAGATAGCATCATAGATTTTGTGCAATGTTTTAAAGAGGTAATGTAGAGGAAATTAAATGTTTTATTGATACTATATTTTAATATTTTTTAGGACAAGATAAACTGGATATAAAGCAATGTCATAAAATATTTTTGGACATAATGTGATCTTTAAAAAAAATACATTGTTTAAGCACTATTCTTCTTGGGTTAAAGAATTTTATATAAAATTTCATATGTTTAATAAAAGCAATCTCATAAGCCAATATCTGCCATTTTCCCTGGCATCTCATATTTTGAAATTGGCACTGTTACTGTTTGATAATCAACCCCAAAAAGTCTACACTTTTTTATTACATCTTGAATATTATCTATACGTGCTATTTTTAAACTTTCAAATAAGGTATTTTAAATAAGGATTTTTTTTCTCTAAAGATACATTTCAGTGCTTACTCAGAGATATGTGTATGTCTGTTAGGTTCTCTTTTAAAATTAAACTTCATGGGTCACAATCTTTTATTTAATATACTGCGTTTACTTTGTCAAGTTCTTTTAAACTAATGTTTACATCTCACTAGAACCTGCTCTTCAGCAGTTTTGATTTTTGAAACCACACTTCTCTATGTAATTCAGGCTATATAGAAAATTCCTTCTTAATTTTCCTTGCTTTTTAAGTTATTGGTACATGTTTATTTGTGAATGTACAAGTATAATTTGTTTATATCATTGAAGAATTGCATGCAATTTGTCAGTAAACTGTAATTAGTAGGTTTCGACTCTTATTTTCTGCTTTGCCTGTTTTTCTGGGAACTTTGGCAAATAATTTAGCATTTCTGTGCCTTGGTTTTCTCCCTGTTGGACATGATCACAGTCATACTGTGCTTCATTAGGTACCTTATGAATAACTGCTGAGTGATAGTAAGGTTCTTTTCATATGACATGTTAGAACAGTAGTATTATTTAGTAACACATAATACATGTATGTGTGTCACAATTGGTAAATATGTTTCCAGTTATAGTAAATATTTATTTTTTATGTCAGAAATGTACATGTCTTGTTTTTGTATATAATTTTGTCTAGAATCTAGGAGACAAAAAGAAATTTGTCATTATATGTTTTCTAAAATGATTAGATTGAAGGTTTATAGCATCTCGGAATTTCATTTTTTTAAGTGCATACTTTTTGCCATCTGCTTTTAAAATTTAATTAGAAATTATCTGAGAAGTTTTCTACCAAATATATATTTCTTCAGGTTATTTTATGTAATCTAAATGCTAAAGGCCAAATTGAAACTATTTCATGGAATTGCAAGGTCTTTTTAGGCTCTGTGATAGGTCATTGTTGAACATAGTTATGGAACTACTTAGTGATACCTAATTTATTTTTGTTTCCACAGTTCATGATACATTCAATACTCAGAAAATGCTTGATAAATGAACTCTACATGAGTAATGACTGAGTATTCTCTTGCTGAATTTAAAAAATCTGTCACTGTTATAATTCAATTCTAGAGCAAATTGAGTCATAAAATAAAATGTTTGATGAAGATACCTAAGGGCTTAATAAAGGGTAATTGAGTTTTGCTGCTAAAATGTAGTGGTTAGTTTTTCCTCCCCTGTATTTTAAGTAAATAAATAGATTTGAGATTAGTTGATGCGTCTGTGAAAAGTAGAAATAAAGTGATTCCTTGAAAGGGAAGAGGGCCTTTATTCTCTCTCAGTCTTTATCCGACTATCAAATTAGGAATAACACCAAACTTCTAAACCTCAAATTTTATCTTAACTACATGAACTCAGCGTGGTACATTTTATTACTTAATCAGAGATAGGAGAGAGAAAAAAAAAGGCTTCCTAAAGCTAACAACCCTGTAATCCATGAGCCCTCTTAAATAGCATCTTTAATTTTATTTGGTATTGTGGCCATAACTCAGAAGCATTGAGGGTAGGAAATGATCTATTAAGCTATTTCACTTTTGTAGCTAATTCTACACTATTAAATGCTTGCCAGAGTCTCCCCTTTATTTGAGTATATGGCAAATTATATAGGTATTGAACCATTTTGGTTACAAGGGTAGGGTGTCAATTTGGTCTCTAAACGTTGTTGTTAACACTTTTATTTATTTCACATTTAAAAATCTGGCTTGTCAGTGTATCCTCACAAACTAAATTTGATTGTATCATAAATTATTAGGATGATCAGCAAGAATTTGTATATATTACAGTTTAATTTCAAATACTAGACTCTTAATATTCTGAACCTGGAGTTTTCATTGTGGAAAAGTTTTTGATAATAAATACAACATTTAGAACAAATATTTCCTTTCATTTTGTGTCATTTTTGGTAAGCTGTTTGTTTGTTTTTGTTTGAGACAGGGTTTTGCTCAGCTGCTTAGACTGGCATGCAGTGGCACGATCACAGCTCACAGCAGCCTGAACTCTTAGGCTCAGGTGACCTTCTTTTCTCAGCCTCCTTGGTAGCTGGGACTACAAGTGCATGCCACCATGCCCAGCTACTTTTTTTTAATCTTTTGTAAAAATGAGGTTCTCACTATGTTACCCAGGCTGGTGTAGAACTTGTGAACTTAAGCAGTTATCCATCCTCAGCCTTCCAAAGTGCTGGGATTAGCGACTGTACTCGGCTAAACTGTGTTTTTCAAGGAACGTATTGATTTCATGTCATTTGCCAGTTCCTTCTTTCTTGTGGTCAGCACCATGGTTTTTTCTTCAGTCATACTGATCTTTTCAGTGTTCACTGTAACTATTTGCGTAGGACTTTTCTGCTGTCTGTAATGTATTTCAGCATATTTTCTTCTTCCTTCTAAGCCTACGTCAGTATTTACTTCCTTCATGTAGTCTTCCTGACTTAAATGGCTTCATATTGATTGTCTTGCATTGATTGTCCTTGGAACCCTCCTAAAGTCCCTTGTCATGCTGTGATCCATTTTGCTTGTAAGTTGTGTTATTATTTCTGTGAATTAATTTACTTTTCCATGAGGTGAGTCTAGCATCTGAGCCTTCCATTTATTTCTAATGACCCTGATAGTCTAATACAGTATGGCTCAGGCAGTTAATTCAGCATAAATGCCTGTTAATTTACTGATTATGCTACCATATTTGTATACCTT